TGGTCTCAGGCTGATGAAGTCTCTGGTTTATGTGGCCCTTTCTGTCTCTTGGGCTAATACTTGCCTTGTGTCTTTGGTGTTCTTCATTCTCCTTTACTTCAGGTGGGTTGGGACCAATTGATGCATCTTAGATGGCTGCTCGCTAGCTTTTCAGACCACAGACATCAGTCACCAAAGTGGGATGCAGAACGTTTTCTTAATCAACTTTGTTATACCAATTGACCTAGATGTACCCTGAAACCATGGTCCTCGTAGGTCTTCCTGAATCATTGCTATATTATGAGGAAGAAGCATGTGCCTTAAGGATCAGGCTGACCACCGATTATAGTGAAGTTTAGCTATATTTGATCCAGTGTATAATTTTCTCCTTTTAATGTGACTACTACAATTGCTGTGTGCTGTACTATATACATAAACCCTGGTGGCGTAGTGGTTAAGAGCTATGGCTGCTAACCAGAAGGTCGGCAGTTCGAATCCACCAGGTGCTCCTTGGAAACCCTGTGGGGCAGATCTACTCTGTCCTACAGGGCCACTACGACTTGTAATCAACTCAATGGCAGCGGGTTTGGTTTAGTTTTTTGGTACTATATACATAAGAACAAGAATAGCAGTGACAAGAATGTTAATTTGTTCCTTGAAGGCTCGTGGTCCCTGATTTCTGACCTCACTGAACTACTATGAGACAAATTAATTAATGATATTCCTGGCTCATAGAATGTACTCAGTAAATATTTGTTGAATGAATGTACTGTGTGATTATAAGGAGTTATTCTTTACCTTGTTTAATGAGGTTGACTCAAGTTTGGAGGGGATGGTGCCAGGCTCCACTACTGAGTGTGTTTACTCTGCATCCCCCAAGCACCTGCATGGTGCTTTGCACTAGTAGGAGCTCTCTGTTTGTCTGAATTATATTAAGAGTCTGTGTGTTCTCCTTACCTCCTAAGCAACATTGTATGTAACTACAGTGCTCCAAAGTGCTTTGTAGTTAATAAAGTTCAGTAAATATTTGAAAGTTGATTGATAAACCTTTAGTCCTCTGGTCCTACCCTCTCCTTTCCAAGTTACAGTAAGCTAGTGCCTTAAGGCAAGTTCTAGCCAGGAATCACCTCTATCCCACTTCCCAAAAGTTCACTCTAGAGAGTCAAGAACTTTTCGAGGCTGAATGAATGAATATATGCTTGCTTGCTTGATTGATTTCTATCTAGCCAAATCTGTGCCCTTTGTTGTAAGGTACTAAGTTAGGTGCTGTCATTAATGTATAAGACAGGGTTTAAAAAAGCATTTACTTTGTGACTCAGTCTGAGTCAAACCTAAGTTGTACTACTTACTTAATGTGTGATTTTGGGCTAGTCACTTCATCTCTCTGAGGTTACAGTTTTCTTCCCGGAAAATAGAGGGATAATTATTCCCACATTATAGATTTGTTGTAAAGGTTAGGTGAGTAATTATACCAGGTGCCCAGCCTAGCATCTGACAAATTAAGTACTCAATAAACATTAGCTACTATTATTCCCCTTTCTCATTTTTGTTTTTCTCCCACGTTGGGCTGCTCTGTCCTGTTTCGGAACTAGGGAGAAAATGGGTGGGCTGGCTGCTGTAGCAAGGACTATGTGATTTCCTCTGAGAGCAGTCTTGGAGGCATTTGAACAGTGGCTTCTCTCTCATGCCCCTCCTGGTCTGTTCACCACTGACTCAACCCCTGGGTCATGTTTTTGCCCTTTATCTTCTGTCCCACTTCCCTCATGAATGCAGTCGAGGGACCATGCAACCAGTTTCTCCTGGCTCTTCATCTTCCCTCTTCTCCCCTCACCTCTCACACCAGGTTTCTCAAACTACAACTTCTGAAGCAATTTGTTCCTTGTTCTCTAGCTCAAGGCTAGACATAAATTGAAAATTACGCCACCTGCTGGAGGATTGGATTTTCTTGGGTTCAGGCTATAAAAGAGCTTTTGCATCGAAATTGATGTCTAGAAAGCCATCTCCCCAAGTCCTCCTTGATAGTAGAGACCACCTTCCAGCATGCCAGAGTTCTCAAGTGATTATTATTATAATAAGAAGATAAGGGATGCAGAAAGCTTTATAAAATGTAAGGCTCTATCTGGATATATAGAAGTATTATAACTGTCCTTCCTCATTTATTCATCCAGGCTAGGTCAGGCTTGGAGGAAATCAGCGCCAGACTCTACATTTGCTTATTTAACTTTTCCAGGACTCTATACTACCTAAACGGCAGGACTTAGTGAGGCTTCCAGAGCCCCTGTTTTCTGTGATGGGCTTCCACAGTCTTACCATTCAGGAAGGTGCAGCAACATAGACCAAACTATTGATCTGCCAACTCTCAACTCCTCCTGGCCATGATTTCTACATCATGGTAATGTGGGCCTGGAAAGCTTTTTTCCTTTCTCTCTATTCTTCTTGGAGACCCCAGGAAATAATTTGGTTTAATGTCCTCTCAGAACTTTGACTCATCTGCTGTAGATAGTTGACTAGTCTCTCAGACATCCAGAAATTCATATTTCTCTGAAATGAGCGAATCATACTTCTAGCTACCACTGAGTACCTATACCATATATCAGGTACTATAGTTAGTGCTTATCTCGGTTAATTTTCATCGTGTCCTTTGAAGTAGGTATTTATCATTCTCGTTTTATTCAAAAGAAAACTGAGGTTCAAAAAAGTTGAATGACTTGTTTCAAATTACACAGCTAGTAAGTGGCAATCTGGAATGTGAACTTAATTCTATCTTATTGCAAAGTTGTTCTGACCACCATACCATGAAGCCTCCTGTGTGCCACAGAGAAACACTCAGGAGATTTCCAGTCATACCAATCAACATTCAAGTCCCAACCCTGCCTGTGTGATCTGGGACAAGTGGCTCTCAACTTCTCCAAGCCACAGTTTGTTCATCTGTAAGAGGGAAACAGTATTTTCTCCTTCACTGAGGTAAAGGCAGTTCACTGGCAGAACACTGAGAGCATGTGAATTCACAAAGCTAGGGCCTCTGGTTCACTGGCAGTGTTCAGACAGCACACTCTACAGGCCTTCTCACATTCTGGATCCCTTAATGTGATCCCTGAAGGCAGAGCAGTGATTTAGAAAAAAATAACAATAGGTACCAGATATGTGCATTTCGCTGTATATAACGTACTGTCCCATTAAATCTTCACCACAGCCATATTATTCCCATTTTATATTTGAGGAGACTAGGCTTCAGTGAAGTGAAACGACTTACCCAAGGTTACAAAATAGTAAGTAGTAGAGCCAGAATTCAAATCTAGGTCTGTCTGACACCTCATTCTGCTCTTTCCCCCATTTCTCACAGCCAGCTCCTAAGACCTGGTGTATCACTCAGGCACACTGACAGCTTTTAGGATGCTGATAGGAAGCCCTTAAGAGGAACAGCCTCACCCTCTTTAGCTCTCTTTTTCCTCCTATAGTCTTTCCCTTGTCCTAGAAACCTTACTGAACCAATATAGATATTCGGAATTCAAGGAAAAGTCTTACGCAATGACTGAAAATTGTCCTGACACTCCATAGAAGCCTGAGAACCTGTCTCCCGTACTTTGTATGGGTTTATAATGTCACTTTGGCAGCATGGTGTCATGGAGAGACCCCTGCTTGGAGTCTGGGTGCTGGAGTTCAAACTCCAGCTGCCTATTGATAGTTTTGCGAAAGTTCTTACTGAGATTTCTTCTTCGTGTGTATAACCTTGTGAAGTTGTTGTAAAGGTTAGAGGTGATATTCAAGACTAGTGGTAGAAGCTCATTAATTGTGGCAGCAGTTGTTTTCCCTGGCAGCAGAGTCTTCACAGAAATCAGACTGGGAGTAGGAGTCCCCTATCTGTCATTCTCTTATTTTGTGACTTTGGGCAGGCTAGGTGCCACCTGTCTCTAGATAGACTAGGTGATCTCTAAGGGCTACTTTGAGCTTTACTATCCTGTTTTTTTTTTTTTAAATGAAAGTAATAGGTGCTTGTTTTTCTTAAAAAAATCAAACTGGACGGAATTATATAAAGACAAGTGAAAACCCCTATCCTCGCCCATTCTGTTCATTCCCTAAAGTTAACACTTGTTACCAACTTGCTCTGTCCTTTCCTGTGTTTTCTGTGTATATTATATACAGGTGTGTATAAATATTTATATACACCACATTATATATGTGTACATTTATCTTTATAAATATTATTGTTATTTGTCATGGAGCGAGCTCCAACTCATGGCCACCTTATGTGTAACAGAATGAAACACTGCCTGGTTAAACCATCTTCGTGATCGCTGGTACGTTTGAGTCCATTGTTGCAGCTGTTGTGTTCCTTCTGTCTCATTGAGGGTTTCCCTCATTTTCGTTCCTGTGTCTCTCTTCTGTATATATATATTTATACACTAAGCATACCAAAATCTACAATACATACTGTACTGTGGCTTGATTCTTTCACTTCTTTTGGCCATTTTTTCTTGTCAGTACTTATTCTTTTTCATAACTGTGTTTTATGCCATTATAAAAATGTCTTATAATTTAAGTGGTCTTGTGTTGGTTACATGTCATGATTTTTTAAAGAAAATATACATGCCAGTGTTTAGTTTTTAACTTTTCTTTGCAGGAAAAGAAGAAAAAGAAACATAGAGACAGGAAGTCATCTGACTCTGACAGCTCAGACTCTGAGAGTGAAACAGGCAAGAGGGCAAGACGTACATCAAAAGATAGTAAGGCAGCAAAGAAGAAGAAAAAGAAGAAGAAACACAAGAAGAAGCACAAGGAGTGAGAGTGGAAAGAGTGTAGGGGGTGGCTGAGAGAATAAGGAACCAAGAGCCTTGTTCCTTGAAGTCCTTGAAAAGACTCAGTAGTGAGAATAAGGCCTCCCACCCCATTTACTTCTCTCCATGGGAGATGGCTTTCCCTCATGCAGCAGGCATTGTTGGGAGTTAGATGTCAAGAGCAGCTGCTTGAATGAGTTGTTGTTTCCTTACCACTCCTGGTCCCTTCGCAAGTGACCTCTGCAGCTCACCCATGCATTCACCCATCATCATTCAGCAGGAGATCCCATTGCCCTCTCCAGCTGCCACTGCCAGAGCTGGATTCCTGTACAGGAGCCTAGGCTAGAGCCACAGTTACTGCTGTGGAAGTGAGTCTGGCTGTAGTCAGAGAAAAACAGAGCGATCGGCCCCTCCTTGCTGGTCTGCCCTGGGCTGATTGGTGGGTGATCCTTGTTGCATCCAGCATGGGGGCAGAGAGAACCTGGAAGCATGAGGAGGGAGAGCATGGTAAGAAGTAGTGCGCACTTTTTCCATTCTCCCTAACACGGCTCTGCTCTATACAAGTGACAGCCAGTGGCCACAGCCAGAAAATGATCATTTGCAGTGACTGAGCCTGTGTGTGACGTTCTGCCAGACCACTGAACCAGACAGCCAAAGGCAAGATCATTGCTCTGCTTTGTATTTACTACTGTGCGAGTCAGTCAGTTCCACTTCAGGTCTCTGCTTAAATTCCTGGCATTTGATGGAATGTATTTGGTTTTAAACTTACTAAAAGTTCTTATTCCTTTAGTCCCTCTTCCTGGGTAACTTGACAGACTTAAAGTCACTGAGCCTGCATTATTCGACAGACATTTAATATGATACCTTATATGTTGGGAGAGGCCCAGCTCAAGTACGGAGTCAGGGGCACTAGTAGGTGATAGCCGCCTTGGGAGATCACTTATAAGCCCTCCTCCCTAATGATCAGATGACCTTATCCCCCCAGAGTTAATTAGAGAACCAGTGAGAATTTATAACTGTGAGTAGTGGCCTGAGGCATAGGCCAGAGCTCAGCAGTCATCTTGGCCAGTGGTCATTTTCTTCCAGCACCATGGCACAAGCCTGGATACGACATCCTGAGTCTGAACTCTAGAAAGGGAGAGACCGAAGCATTCCGCAGAAAAAGAAAAAGAACTGCCCAGATCCAAGAGCATTTGGTGTGGAACAGATGCACTGGGGAAGCCCTCCACTGAGTTTTCCAGGTTGAGCTAGCTCATTTGACCATAAGGGGCAGTGTAAAGGCAAAGTGTAGGTACAGATGTTTTATTACTGAAAGGGTAAGGTGATCACTGACTACCACTGTCCCTGAGACTGTCTATTCCAGTCTCTCATCCAGTGCTTCTTGCTCTGTGTGACCTTCAGGCAGTCATTTCTGTCCATGGGCTGGCGCACAGGGGAGACAGACGTCCAGAGTCATATCACCAAAGGCAAAAGACAATTGGGTAGCCGTGGGCTTTGCTTTATTGACCTCAGAGCACCCTTTGGATACAGTTAAAAAAACAAGCATACACAATGGGAACCGGAACCAGGCTGATCCCAGAAGAATTCCCCAAAGTGGATTTATACAAAATGCCAGAGGGAAAAAGATGAGGCAATCTGGTGCTGAGTCCAGTGGTAGCCGATTGGCAGAGGAGTCAGTGGAGGAGTGGGCAGGCTCATGCCTGTTTCTCATAGGTGCGAGTGCTGACTGCACTGCAGTGGGTGAGTGTCTGGAAGGAGAGAGAGAGTTAGGTTAGGGCAGAGGCAGGGGCACTCTCCATTCTGACGGAAAGAGCCCTCTGCCTTCATCATAAAAATCCTCATTTATTGAGTACTTATTATGTGCCAGGCACTTCACACATATTTTTTCTTATCCTTATACCAAGTCTTTAGGATAGGCATTGTAATTCTCATTTTAGAGATTGGAAAAATGAGCCTTGAAAGAGGAAGTTAACTTGGTCCAGGTCCCAGAGTGTCTCCCTTTGCCTTGCACCATTCAGCTTCCTTCATCCTTGGTGCTTAAGACAGTGCCTGGCACATAGTAGACAAACAAGTGAATAAAAATGTCTGGAGACTCTTGGGAAAGGACTATGCTAGGCCACTAACTCTCCATTCCTTCTTCCCCTAACTTAGAGTAGTGCCATGGCCAGAGCCCTAGCACCCACCATTCAGTCTGGCTTCTTAGAGCTAGACGCATGGCCTTACCACTTCTTGGGAAAATATAGTCCAATTGCTAGTATTTGGTCCTGCATTCCTGTATTTGTATCTCATTCTTAACTCTGGAGAGACCCCTGCCCCTTATGAGTTCAAGCATGCAGGTAGCTTGATACACTGACCTAAGAAGGTCTGAAGTTAAGATGCCAAAGCAGAAACCTGAGGCCTCACAGAGTTAGGAGGCAGAGACCATGGGTGGCTGTTATTCCTGTCCCTGAATGCAGTCAAGGCTACATTTCTCTGGGTGAAGTCCTCAGGATGGTCTCTAAGAAGACAGATCTGCTGGCCTGGTTGGGTCATTTCCTACCCAGTAGTGAGGTAGTTGCAGCAAGCTGGTATATGGAAAGCACTGAGGAGGTGGGGCTGAGATGAAGTAGAAAGGACTGCACTGTCATCAAGAGGATCTGTCACCAGCCCTGTCCCTGCTCAAAGGCTTTGCATGTGACAGTGCAGTCCTAGTGGGGAGAAAGGGAGTGTGTGCTCTGATAGGAGAGAGGAGCCTCTCATAGACGCCTGGGGTCGGATTTGGCCCTGCTTTCTCTCTCTCTCACTGGGACTGAGGCAAAGTGGCCACATAGAGGAAAGTAAGGTTATGGAGCACCTACTGTAAGCACGCTGGTGCTTCGTGCTATACCTATGCTATCTCCTTCAGACCTCCCAGCAGCCCTACCAGGTTAGTAATATTAATACTTTATAGTTGGACCCCGAGACGTTGATTTATCCAAGGTCATGCAGCCTGTAAGCTGAGATTTGAGCCTATGCCTGTCTGAGTCCAAAGCCACTATAGAGAAAATTCCCACCTAATGCCACCTTGACCCTGCCTGCATCCTTTATTGTCCCAGTTCCAATTTCCCAGAGGAGGATCTTAGCTTTTTAAAACAGGCTTGGCTGAAGGGGTGGTGTAGTAGTAACCGGTCAGGTGAGGCTCCAGAGTTGGCCCATCTTACCAGGATGAGTTTCCCATCACTTAGTTCCCGCACAAGTGTCGTCTCCTGCCCATCCCACTTCTGTAGGTGGACAAGTTTGCCGCCATCCAGCGTCACAGTAGACTGTAGAAAGAAAGTAGAGGCCTGATCTATGACTTTAGCCCAGATTAAGGGGAAGGATGGGGTCTGGTCACTGGGGCCTCAGAGGACCCAGCCTCTGACCCAAACTAGTGATGGTGCTGGGATCCGAACTCAGGCAACCCACCTCCATCCTAGCCCACAGGATGTCTAGTTCACCTCCAGCCTCTGCTCCACTACTGCCTAGACTAGGGTAAGGGCCTACAGGTGTTGGCAGAGTGAGGGAGAGGCAGGCAGTATGGTGGAGCCAGACAGCCTGGCTCTGAAAAGCACTACCAGCCTTTGAGATGGGCAGTTACCTTGTAGTCTAAAAGATGCCCCAGCTTCTCTAAGATACAGGGGGCATGTACCAGTCTATATCCCTGGGAAAGACTGGCTGAGGAGTAGTAGCCCTGAGAATCTCTCTGTGGCCTTGTGGTTACCAAACATAATGTCCAACAGTCACACACCTGGTGATGAGAAGTATTGGAAAATTTGACTTCCTATCCCTCTTCTTGAGCCACATCATTTGACCCATCAGCTGATGAATGGGAAGCAACTGCAGGGTCCTAGGACTGAGTGCTCTTGAAGTGTTCCGCTTCCCAAGGTCAAATGCACACTTAGTCCCTGGGCTCTTCCAGCCTGCATCAGCTGGTTCTCAATTGGCAGCTCTCCCAGGCATTTCTTCTCTAGGAATTTGGGGGCTCTACACCAGGCTATAGGACCCTGGCTGGGCAGGGTTCAGTAGGGGAATCTGAGAAGGTGTGTGTATGCTGGAGAAATAGGGAGGGGTTCACTTTTATCTCCTGGAGTGTTGTCCTCACCACCACAACCTTCCTCCTCATTCTCATTCCCACTCAGAGCAGACTGTTTTTGGCCTGGGTGCCTCCAGAGGACTATTGTTGGATTTAATTGGAGTTCTTGCCTCTTGAGAAGGTGGGCACGTCCAAGGAGGTAGGAAAATGTATTGAGGCAACAACCTTATCCAAAGCTGGCTGCCAGCCTCCTATATGATCCTGGGCTAAGCTCCAGCTCCTCTTTCTCTGCAAGAAGACCAGACCTTCTCTTGTCCTTGCTGGGGACAGCTGTGAGGAAGAGGAAACAGCTAAGAGGGTGACAGGGTGAAGATGGGGAGGATCCTCCTGTAGGGGATACCCTGTAGAGGTCAGATCGCCCTTAGTTCTCTCTCTTCTGTGCCTGGCCCAGGGCTAGGAAGCTTGAGGCAAGCTGCCAAGACAGATAGAGCCACAGCAGCTTGAAAGAGCCCTCTGAGGGCTTAAGGCTTGGTGGGAAGACACTGCAAACACACCCACGACAATGTGAATGCCCCATCCCGGAAACCTGTAGCTCTTCCTGCCCATCAGCTTGCAGTAGTAGAACTTGTTCAAGGTCACCGGCCAAGCCCAAGGGTTGGGGTTGGAGAAGAGGAAGCATCTGAGTAGGTCTCAGCCTTTTGTCCCTAGCTGAGCTGCCTCCTTTGTTGCTAGAGGCCAGGATGACCTTTTCAGTAAGTGGATGGCCCTGATTTCTGGGCATTGTTCCCAAAGCACTCCAAGTCATAGCCATGACCACGTAAGTCCCACATCTGTGGAAGGAGACAGAAACCCAAAGCTATTGCATGCCTTGCAGAAGGTCACCCAGCTGAAGCTAGAGTAGACACTTGAGGTCAGAAGAACATCTTGGCTCTGTGCTGCCCACAAGGCTAAGATTTTCATCCTGGCACTCCCAGAGGCAGCTAGTGGATGCTTTCTGAGAAGTAAGGGAGGAAAACAGAAGAACTGACATACATTTAGCTCCTGAGACATTCCAGCACTGCACAGGTTTTATGAACCTTGTTTTATTTTAATCCCTTATATAATAGCCTGCCCCTTGGGGTGCAATGACAGCTAGCCAAAGCTACCAGCCTGTTGTCCTCAGGGTCCTAGCAACGTGCACCCCAGTGCCTGCTACCCTGACTCACCTTGACCTTCCTGTCATCTGCTGTTGTCTCATCAAACTCCACTCCCAGCTTGAAGCTGATCTCCGTATTCTTGAAGGTGCTGTGTGTCTTTATGACGATGGTGTCCCCATGCACTTCGATGATTGTGGTAGGCTTGGTCATGCAAGCCACCTGCCTGGTAGCAAAACTCACACCTGAGAAAAGGGGAAGGTTACAAGTATATGAACTGGGGTAGGGAGGCAGGTACTAGGAGCTCAGTGAGCAACTTTTAGGCTTGGGTGTGGGGAAGAGGAGGACTGTAGCTTTCAAAGCCTTTGCCTGGCCATTTTTTAGTTCAGTCTTCCCCTTTGCTGTGTGCAGTGAACAGAGACTATTATCCCATTAGACAGATGGGAAACTCCAGACATGCCACAGCAAGTCAGTGGCAGAGCTGGGATTAGGATAAGCTACCATTTATTGAGTGCTTTCTGTGTGCTAAGAACTGTACACGTGTTATCTCCTTCAATCCTTCCAGCCTCCCTGAAGGGTTATCTCCATTTTACAGATGCAAGAACTGAGATAGCATTGAAGCCCAGGGTCACACATCTGGGATTCAAACCCAGAATTGTTTGACTCCAAAGCCCACTTAGCTGCTCAGCTGTACTGCCTCCCAAGGCTGGAGTGCAGGCTTCCTTCTGGGGTACCTGAGCAACTTTCAAATCAGAGGCTAAGGAAAGAAGAGGAATGTGGGTGGCTCTGCCTCCCAAAGCCTTAGGATCAAGAAGTTTTGACTTTGGGAGGTGTTCAGTCTGAAACCTAAGGAGCACTGGTGCTCTTGTCATCATTCCCCCCTGCAACAATGCATTTTCAAAGCCTTGTCCTATCCATGATTTGGAAGGTAGGTAGAAAGGGAGTGTTTGTCCCACTGTACAGATTTAGAAGAGGCCTAAGGTTGTACTGACAACGAGCGTGGTCAGGACTCAAATCTTAGTCTCCCAGCTTCTAGTCTGATGCCCTGTGGGGACTCCAATCCTGACTCATGTATGGCTTCCCTGGAGCTGGGCAAAGTCCTAAGTGTCCCGCCAGCAAGTGAGGAAGAAAGAGCTTTTAAGCAAAGCCTTCACCACTTCAGGTTGTGGCTTCTGTGGACATCTGTCTTTCGGCCACTAACCTCCCATCATGACTGCCCTGTCCCTCTGCCCCCAGCAGCCTATGCTGAGCAGTCCTCCAAGGCAGAAGTGAGGCAGGAGGCAGCCCAGTATGGTAAAGTGTGTGTACAATCCCCAGATGTGCTAGGCACATTTTACCTAGCAGCCAGCTCTGATCACGAACACCATTCTGGTCTACCCCATCCCAACCTGGGGGTTGAGGATAATCTCATAGCTGGGAACTTCAGAGAAGGGTTATCACCATCTCATTCTAATCTATTTTATCCAACAGCCCTGAAAGGTAGGTTTTATTATCTCCATTTTACAAATGAGGCTCAGAGAGTGAAATAACTCACCCAAAGTCAAAGCTAGATTTGAATCTAGGGTTACCTGGCTCCAAAATGTTCATTATTCCTCTGGGCCATTCTGCCTCCAGGATACACTCAGCCCAGGCACCAAGGCCACCAGGTGCACCTGTGGTTGCTAGTGTCAGGCTGGGCCTCTTTGCCCCATGATCCCTTGGTCTAGCACACAAGGGGCAAGGACTGATGCCCACACACCCCACCTGGCCCGTGAGGCACTTGGCCTTGCCCCCAGTCTCAGAGTCAGGCTGGTCACACACTCAGCACAAAACAGGCCCTCAGGCAGCACTGGGAGCTCTGCTTGCTTAGGACTCACCCAGATATGTGGAGTGTTGGAGGACAGGAACTACTGTGGGGTGAGTGAGTGACTGAGCTGAGAGAAAGTAAAAACTGGACTGACAGAATTTAGGAGACTAGAGAAGAGCTGGGTTCTGCTTAGAAATGAAGCTGAAGCTATTTACTGAGAGAGGTGAGGAGGGTCTTTCCCCTCCATTGGGCCTCAGCCCTTTCTGTCCAGTGAAAAAAGCAGGCTGGATTGAATCTCAGTCTCCTAACATAAGGAGCTGCCCAAAGGCTATAGGTTTTTAGGGAGACAAGTTCCCTAGCCCAAGTTGGGGCAGAATAAGGGAACAAGAGTGATAAGGATCTTGCAGCCTGGTTTAGGACTTGGCTCTTTCGCCCAAATGTCTGCTGTGGGGACCTTTGGGAGGAGGAAGTGAACCTGGTTATTCCACCTTCCCCAAAATCTGCCCAGCCCCCCTGCTTCTCCAAGAATGGCTGCCTTCCTGGAGTCACTGGGCATAGTGCCCAGCATAGAGTAGGGGCAGTTTAGAGCTCTGGCCTCAAAAGCCAACGCTTGTGGACCCTGTCTCATAAAAGGGTTAGGAACAAAGGCGAGAGGTGCCAGTAGTGGACCTCCTAACTCCTTTGGCTATCTGCCACAATCCAGCCTTCTACCCTGGAAGACATGGAGCCCAACTCTTGACTGAATACACCTCTGGTTTCTCCTGTTGAAGCCTGAGGGTGTAGACTAATCTCATAGCTGGGGATTTCGGAGAAAGAATATCACCCTCTCCATCTAAGCTCAAATCTGGAGAGGAAAAATTGAGGTCAAAGGGCTAAGCAACTCTTCCACTCCCAGGGCCTATAGAGTAGTGAAAAGAGCTCTGGATTACAGCTCTAGAAACCTAGGTTTCTTTTATATCAGTTCTGTTGTGGAATTGCTATGAGTTTCTCCTCTCTATAGACTCCAGTTTCCCTATCTGTTGAACTAGGCAAGGTATGGAGATCTCCAAGGTTCTTACCTTTGTAAGATTATCTGAATCTTATTCTTACCCATCCCTACCACCACCCTCCGAGGCCCTCCCTGCCTTTAATAGGGCATGACCTTGCTCTGGGACCTTCTGCTACACCCCAGAAGTCCAGTGGCTTTCTCCACTTTACTCATCCGCAAGGGGTGCCTGGAGTCCCTGGGTGGTGCAAATGATTAATGCACTTGACTGCTAATTAGAAGGTTAGAAGTTTGAGTCCACCCAGGGGAGCCTTGGAATAAAGGCCTGGTGATCTACTGACAAAAAAATCAGCCACTGAAAACCCTGTGGAACCTACCCTAACACGTGGAGTCGCCATGAGTTGGAATCAACCGAAAGACACCTTTTTTAAGGGGTGTTGAGCCTTGGGATGTAAGATATGCCCAGCTGGTGAGCAGCCCCACCCTAACACTAGGCTCACTGACAGTGATTAACCCTTTGCTGACCCAATTATTTTCTGCTTTGAATTTTCTGTTGATATCGTGTGTCTTCATTAATGGAAACATGCTGAATCATTGAGTGTCTGAATTTTTGGTAGGTAGTATGGATTTTTTTTTCTTGCCGCATCCCACAAGTCTCCTGTAAGTGTTTAGTGGTACACATGAAGTACCATTAATTATGCCCCAGAGTCATCACTGGAGTCTTTGGTACATATATGTAACAAATAAAAATTTTCAAAATTTCTATTTTTTCTACCAAAAATTCAGACACCTCATACAAACTCTGTAAAGACTAATTTGCGGCACACGTCTGTTTCTTAGCTTGTAAGCAGCCATAAAGGCCCCTGCCGTGCCGCAGCACACAGTCAGTGGTGCAGCAACTTTCTAATAAACCCCAGAGGCTGAAAAAGTTCATCGTTGCTTTATGTACTACCACCTCCTGTTAAAGCCTGGTTACATACCACTGCGGGACAAGGTTAGAGAGGAGCTGGTGAGAAAGAAGGCATCCTCCATGGACAGTCCTTCCCCCGACCCAGTATGGAGGGGCAGGGGTTGTTGCTAATCTGGGCAGCCCCTATCTTACATCCTCCCATATCTGATTCATGTTCCCCACCCCACTCCACTCTTAGGCAAGTGCTACTTTTTCAGGCTATAGTATAATCCCTGTCCACCCCACCCTTTTCTGGTGCTGACCCAAAATCAAAACCCATTGCCATCAAGTCGATTCTGACTCATAGGGAGCCTGTAGGAGAGTAGAACTGCTCCATAGGGTTTCCAAAGAGTGGCTGGTGGATTCGAACTGCCAACGTTTTGGTTAGCAGCCAAGCTCTTAACCACTGAGCCACCATTTCTGAACAACCCATGGCCCTGTTATTTTTCTCCCCTAGCCAGCCTCCCACCTTCTGCCGTTAATGTTCTCTTTTTATCCAACCTCCAGAGCATATAGCCCTCTTCCTGGAAAGCGCCTCCCTGCTCCCTTATGGACAGGCACATCCGCCTCCTTCCCACGCCTCCCTACCTGGGTGCCCCTCTTGGTGGTTCAGACCATGGAAGCTCCCTTCCAACAGGCCCCCGCATGCCCCAGCCCAGGCTTCCACCTTCGCGTCCCCATACCCCCCAGCCATTACTAGGAGGGATGCAGCCGGCGCGCAGGACAGCACCTAGGGCAGGAGCCGCCAGCCCATCCCCAGCTCAGCATCCCGATCCCCGCTCACCGAGCGACTTCATGTAGTCATCGAAATTCTTGCTATCCACTAGCTTCCAGGTGCCTACAAAGGCTTCCACCATGGTTAGACTGGGCTAGGCAGGCCAAGAAGCGACGAGAGAGCAGGCGTATGAGGACTCCACAACCGGCGGCTCCCAGCCCAAAGTGGCGCCTTAAATAGCCTTTACATCACGTGATGAGACGTGACCCAAGCCCCCAGCTCCCGAAATAGGAAACCCGAGGCGGGCGCGCGCCAGCACGGGCTAGCCGCCCAGCCTCCTGTCTGCCGAGGGGCAGGAGGAGGGGAAGGGGGCCGGGTCGTGACGCCCCGCTCGCCTGCGTGAGCGTCGGTCCCTAGCAGCACCTGCTCCCTTCCCTAGCCTCCAGGCACTCGTCCGAATCTGAGAAGGAAGCGGCTGGGGGCACGGTGCCCGGGAGGCAGGGCGCGCGCCATGGACATCGTCTGTCCTCCAGTCCTTGCCCAGGCTTGGGGCCAGAGCAGAGATGAGAGGCTAGAGGAGAAAGGAAACTCGCCCTTGGGTTGATGCCCCGGCCAGGGAAAGCTTTGGTGGATTCTGGCGGCGCAGGCATCATTGTCCTCATTTTACTGGTGAGGAGCCCGAGGCGCAGAGGGGAACCGACAAGGCCACAAGGAATAAAAGAGGAGGAGGGTAATTGACGCCCAGATTGCAAGCCTGGTCTAGCAGGCTCCAGGGCTTGCCACTGCCCAGTGATAGCCCCTGCCCCTCCACCTCCTCTGGGCCAAAGCGTGACCCTTCTCCTCCTCCCCGACCCACACGTGCTCGCCCCTCCCTGAGGAATGTCTCCTGCGGGCGCCTTTCCGCAGCGCAGTCCAGCACTCCACCTGCCCCTCCTAGTGTTCCAGGCTCTTCTGACCTCCAAACACAGCGCAGAGCTTGTGCTCAAGTTGTTCCCTCTCCCAGACCCTCCTCAGAAATTCTTTTCCCTCAGACAGCTGCTTGCTCCCCACCACCCTTTCTCTGACCTCTGCACACAAGCACTCACAAGTGAGTCTGCACTTTCCTAGAACTTTGAAGAGTTGTTTCACACAGTTTATGAAGCACTTTTAATAATAAAAAGAACCACCTTGTATGGAGTGCTTATTTCATGAGGGCTTTAAGTACATTGTCTCACTGAACTGTTGAAGTCCATGAACTAGGTGTCTTCAGATGAGGAAAACCCAAACCAAATCCATTGCCATTGAGTCAATTCTGACTCATAGCAACCCTACAGGATAGAGTAGAACTGTCCCATAGGGTTTTCCAAGGCTGTAATCCTTATGGAAGCAGACTGCCGCATTTTTCTCTCAGATTGCAGCTGGTGGGTTCGAACCACCAACCTTTCAGTTAGCAGCTGAACACTTAACCACTGTGCCATCAGGGCTCCTGAGGAAACTGAGGTGTTATTAAGCACCCAGTTTGTGCTAAGCCCTGACTGAGGCCCTGGAGGGACAACTGTAAATAAGATTGTAGCTCACAGACTCTGAGAGAGGCCGACACAAAATTAGGGTGGTGACTTAAAGGGAGACCTGTCCTGATCTGGGGGTTCAGGGAAGGCTTCCCAGAGGAAATAAAGTGCAAGTGAATTCCTGATGGAGAGAAGGAGGCCCTACACTGTAGGGTGTGTTGCAGTGCTGATCTTTAGCCAAGCAGAGGCCTGTCCAGGGTGGACATGTGCCACACACGCACAGTTTGGTGGGCCTTCCTTCCTGAGCCTCTCCTTCCCCATGTGGAAGTAGAGAACATTTGCTCCTTCCTTTCTTCCCCTGGCTGTCCTGGGAAGGAGGCCAGGGAGGAAGAGCCTTCTCTCTCCACAAAGCCTTGGTTTCTTTGGACAAGACCAGTTGCCAGAGACAGAAGACTGTTTCTTCCAAAGCTACAGGCACAGGCCTCAGGGCTGGGCTTGGAGCCCTGGTGACCTCATTGCTGGAGCAGGTGCAGGGTTGTGTGTGGGGATGGTTTCTCACTCAAGGTCACCGCTTTTAGGCACAGGGCCTCTTCTCTCAAAGACTGAGCAGCCAAAGACCTAGGGGTCAGAGCTATGTCCTTCCATGGTTCTTACAATGCAGTGGTGGAGAGCTTGGGCTGGACAGAGCTGCTAGCAGCAAGATCAGTGTTCCAATCTTGATTCCATTGTGTAAACTGTGTGGCCTTGGGCAGTTCACTTGTACCACTCTGAATCTTTAAAGTGGAGATAATGACAGTATTTACCTCATAGAGGTATTCGGGGGTCAAATGAGATAATGCATTTAAAACTGCTTAGCATGGTAGACTTGGTAAATGTTAGGTACTGCTGCGACTGCTATTATTATTATCCCCTTGGGTGGTGCAGGACACCTAAGACCTAGTCTCAGCTCTGCCCCTCACCCAAGGCAAACTGCTTTGCTTCTCTAATCCTCAATTTACTGATTTCTGAGACAGGATTAGAAATTGCTGCAATTGTGAAGAAGTCTTGAGTCCTGCTGCCCTCTCTATTAGGTCCTGCCCCTCCATTAAACAGTATGGTGCTTTGAGAAACTTGAGACCCACTCCCTTCCCTGCCCTGCCCGCATCTCCTTAACATGCTTAGACCCCATCATCAAGACTGGCTCCTAAGCCTCACCTCTTCATCCCTCTGAGTACCTGCATCCTCCTTGCCCTGTTATGTTCCCTGTATTTGGGGTAAGAGGAACAAGGAGGAGGGAATGTGAACCCTGTCCCTATTCCTGCTCCCCTTTCTTGCCCTGGGCAGATCCAGATGTGGATATAACATCTAGCAGGCAGCAGGACCAGTCCCTGCCAAGAGCAGCATCTCCTCAGCCCTCGCCCTATGGTGATGTCACTGCTCTGTGTTTCCACGGCAACCACATGCAGGGAAGATGGAGAAGAGGAGAGATGAGTAACCAGGGGAGAGCCAATGAGATGGGCTGGCAACACCGGGTGATTCATGGGGCCATGGGGAGGGGTAAGAGGGGGGCCTGCTCAGCATCTTCAGCTCTTCGCTGGACCCTCCCTGCCATCTGGATGCCTTGGCTACGGAATGTGTTACAGGCGTAGGGGAAGATCCGAAAGGTGGAGGCCAAAGAAGCTGGGCTGGAGGCACCGCTGACCCAGAGATGTGGAGACCTTCCTTTTGCCCTCTAGGGCCTAAGTCTGTGGATGCTCACCCCTCTCCTACCCCCAATACTTGCAACTGGGAATTTTTCTCTTTTGCTGTTGTTGGCGGCGGGGCTGTCTCTGTCTCTGCATGCCATAGACTCATCAGGTCTTAGACAACCCTTCTCTCACCCTCCATACCCCAACCCTTGGTGCCTGGTGCTTTTGGAAGCTGTATCTTTGGAAAGAAGCCTGGGTCTAAATCCCAGGCCTGCCACTTTCTAGCTGGAGGCCCGGAGCTAGCCCCCTCCCTTCCAAGTCTCTTTGTCTCCTCAAAGATGGAAGGTCATCTATTTTTCAGGAGTGTTCTGAAGCTTAAGAGATAACATATGGAATGCCTAACACACACTAGTACTCAGTAAATGGTATCTCCCTTCCCCCCTGGACCTCCACCCCAGGGCATTTGTCCCAGAAATTCAGAAGAATGAGTCAAAGGCCTTTGAGACCCTGAATCAATAGAAAAGGACCCAAGTATATCATCAACTCCTCTTCATTGAGTAATCCAGTGTCCTTCAGATGTTGCAGATAAGTTTACTCATCTCGCCCTTTCTCTCTCTCTCTTTGAATAATGCATCTGTTGCACCAATTTCAACTGAGCACCTCCTCTGCCCAGGCACTGTGCTAGACTCAATGGGTAGCAGGCTGGGGGTAAAGAAGAGAGCCGAAGCCCCTGCCCTCACCTAGCTCACAATGTAGGAGAATTTCAGCCACAGTGGGTGAGTTGGAGTGTTCTTTCTGCCACTTGGAAATTTGCTCCTGAGAGTTCTAGACACTGTGGGTCAGAGAGAACAGATGATGGCAGAGGTAGAAGTTTACTCAACACCAATTTCCTTCTGAGAAACTCCTGCCCGTGGCGGGATGCTCCCTGGAAGGAGAACAATAGCCCTCCGTGTGCAGGGGGTGGGAGGTGTAGGAGATGGGGTGCAGCTCAGACTAGAGGGGCAGTCATATAGGCCTTCATAGAAAACAGCTGTCCTCCCTGTTGGTGGCAGAATAAAGCCCAATCTCTTTTGTCTCGTCTGGTTTGTTGGTCTAGTTTATTTCTGAATTCTTGTTCGAAGAACCGAACCAGTTGTCATTGAGTCGTGTCATAGTAGAACAGTGCTCCATAGGGTTGTCAGTGGCTGATTTTTTGGGAGTAGATCACCAGGCATTTCTTCTGAGGTGTCTCTGGGTGAATTTGAACCTCCAACCATTCGGGTAGCAGCCAGTGCATTAACCATTTGTACCACCCAGGGACTTTGTTCTAGAACAGTGCCTGGCAAATAGTTGTTGTTAGTGCTGTCAAGTCTATTCTGACTCACGGCGACCCCATGTGTACAGAGTAGAACTGCCCCATAGGGTTTCCGAGGCTGTGACCTTTCAGATGCAGATTGCCAAGCCCGTCTTCCAGGTGCCTCTGGGTGGGTTTGAACTACCAACCTTTCGGCTAATAGTCAAGTGTTGAAGTGTTTGCACCACCAGGGACTCCTGGCAAATAGTAGGGCTCAGTATATTGAATGATGAGTGGTTGTTTGAGTGAATCAGTGACTCTGTCTACCTCTGTAGCTTTAGGGGCTCTGAAGTGAGACTCACTTGGGTTCCAATCCTGCCTCTGCTACTTAGAGATCAGCTGTAAGACCTCGGGCAGGCGAGTCTTGATCTCTTGGGTCTGTTTTCTTCATCTGCAAAAAAGCATATCACAATCTTTGCCTAGCCTACCTCCCAAGGATTTAACGAAGACGAGATAAGAGAAGTCTGGGAGCACAGTACATGTCTGGGAAAGCCTTTTTCCCTGGCTGCCCACGGCCCTCCACACAAGACTCCATCCCCTCCCATGGACCCCGGCCTGTACTCTGGGCCCTGCCTGCCTCTCTACGGTGCAGCCACACTGACCTCCTTTTTGTACCTCAGCAGAGCCCCGTTTTTCTCTCTTGCCTGATGCTATTTGCCTAGAATGCTCTTCCTCCCTGGCCCCGGTGCTCTTACTGAGCTCCTGCTCATTTT